CTATGTGAAAAATATATTAGGTAAAATAAAGTGTATCAAAGAGCTATATTTTTTTTCGTGATGGGAAATATATTAGGTAAAATAAAGTGTATCAAAGAGCTATATTTTTTTTCATGATGGGTTTTAAGGTAGCAAAACCAGTGTAACTTAGAGCATAATCTCCGTTTAATTTTTTAGTAAATAACATCCATTTTTAAAAATTCAGTGCCTGTTCTTGATTAAGTTTTGAAGAACTCTGTGTACTGGATAACAAGATGAAATTGCATTAGCATCCATAATTTAATTTATCATCAGACTTCAAAAGAATTTTCTGCTCACGTGAAGCAAATTTCAAAGTTGTTATGGTTAATCTTCCAAGAGTTCCATCTTTTTGAGGTTAGTGTAAAAATGTATTGCACAGACCATGGGACAAGCAAAGTATAAAGTAATTTTCTTCTGCATCTTTCTTAAAAAGCCACAGAATTGTGACTTGTTTGTGAACAAGCATAAGCCTAAAGGAAAATCTTTTGGTTAACCTGAGCAAAAATGTTTATTTATATTATACCTTTTACCTAAGTTGTTTTGAAATATCTTATGAACAGGCTAAAAAAAAGGTATTTTAAAGTAAAACTGTGGTAGTTGAAATGTAGCTTCTTCAGTAAAGTATGGAAAAAATCTTGGAATTCTCCAGAAATGTAATTCAACAGTTTAGTATTGGTCTGTTGCTGTCAGGAAATTTAAAGAGGTTCAGGAAGGAAGGCCTTAGATACAATTTCAAAGGATTAAATCTAGGTATCCCTATTTGTGCCAAGTTTCCAATGGGTCTGTAACAACCCTACTGGATAAGAATGTGTCATTGCTGATACTGTTGTGCCCAAAACTAATAATTCTGTGGCTGTATTATATTAAAGCTGTTATCTGTCAATTGCTATCTTAAAAAACAAAAGTTTTTTGTTCTCAGCAATGTTCTGATGTGCAAATAGATGACTGGAAAGATCAACACTCTTGGACTCCAATAAAATACTGTGAAAAAGGAGAAAAATTAGACCTTGTATTTTGAAGGAAATAACACGGGTGGAAAGAAATACATAAAAGAAAATAATTTTGAACACCTTTGTAGGGTTATCACTGCAACTTGCTAATATATTATTCAATAGCTTATTCTAAAGGCAATGTCCAAACCCATAAAATCTATAATTGGAATTTGTAGGTTGACTGAGACCTATTTTTGTCTGGAAGTGTGAACTACTCTTGTTGTACAGAGAAGATAAGATTATTTGAGAACTCCTAACAAGAAGACTCATTAAGATAATTCTAACTGGCTCTAAATAGCCAAGAAAACTCATCAAGATAATTCTAGCTGGCTTTAAATAACCAGAGGGGTACCAGTTACTTTGCTAATAAATGTCATGACCGTGAATACTTGTATAAACTTCAATGGAGTGTGAGTCACAGAACGTTAAATTTTCATTACAAGCAGGTTTCTACCTCCTAAAACAAATTATACAGTGAGTCAAATTTCAGGTTTGGCAGCCTGTGCACATGCAGCATGGGTCAGTCACTGATGCTGCACCATGGTGGTGTGGACAGGATGTTTAGCTGAGAGCCAAGATACAGTGGTACCACATGGAGTGTGGGTAACAGCCTCTTCAGCAGCCACTGGGAAGCTCTTCAAATGCATCAGCACAAGCTAAATAATCAAAAAAGTGATCCTTGTGGGATAAAGAATGTGTGTTTTGGGGTCTTTAGGGTTTGCTTCATATGAAGTCCAACGAAACCTGCTTGTTGCATGATCTCATTTGTCTGGAAAGCCTTATTTGATTTTCTAGACACATTATGTTTAACTGCTTGGGATAAATAAACACAGAAATTATCACTTTTCTTGATCCTGTGGTGGACATTTTTCACTGTACTGCTGCATAAATTTTTTGGTTTTATGAAGCTCACCCATTCCATCTTAGACTTCCACGCCACACCTACAGTACTGAATTAAATGTGCCCACGGTTTTTAGCTGTTCCAAAAACAAGCTGAACAGGGCAGCCTGGTCTTGCACCGCTACCATCTCACCCTTGGAGTGAAGCTGCATCCACAGCATCTGCTGGGACAGCACTGACTCCCACGTCTGGGGCTTGTTTGGGAGAGTATCAGACGGTGTGGGCCAAGACCCTGCCAGGGGCTCCTAAAATAATTGAACATCCCATCACAAGGCATCCCTCATGAAAGTGTCTTGACATTCTTTCTATTTCCAAATAAAGCAGCAGCCTGTCAGTCTGAAAGAGAGTGGCCTGGAACAAGGTAAAGATCAAATAATGGTCAAACCCATCTGAGGAAAAATGAGGCCCAACTCTTGCAGTATTACATCAATGATGTTTTCAGTTGCTGCTTAGTGAAAGTCAGTTTTGAATGGTATTTAAGGCATTCCTCCCACCCCTCATGTTTTATGTATTTGTGTATTTGCATACGTGCTTGTGCCTTTTTTGTTTGATTTGCTGCCTATCAGATGCTTTATGATGTCTTCCATGTGACCAGAATAATAATAAAAAAAAAGGCATTTTTTCTTTAATCTTGTTAAGTCTTCATCACTGCACATCTTCCCCAGATGTTTTGACTGCTTTAGCACATTACTTAAGAAAAAAAAAGTTAATAAAGATATGAGAAAGAATAGCTCAGCTGGAGATGGTGCAGCACAGTCTGCTCTGGATGGTCCAAGCAGAGCCTTGGACCAGGTGACTTCCAGAGGTCCCTTCCCACCTCAACCATTCTGTGAATCTGTGAGGGCATGTGTGTGGGGGTTAAACGTCATTATTGCCCCCAAATTTGCCATGGCTGATTAAGGTCATGGATCGACATGTCCTGGGGAGAGGATCTTGGATAGTGTCAAAAGTAGCCCAGTTCCCATCGGGCTTATCCCATGCTGACCCCAAGTGCTGTTGTGGGTCAAATCCCGTCTTCCTGGTAGGGACACATGGCTACTGCCTACTGATTGCCAAAAATGCAACAGGCTTTGGCCTCATTTGACAGCCTTGTGGGTGATTATGCTATATATATGTATGTGATTGTGTGAACAATGATTATTTCTCCGTGTTTTGTTTTGCTCTGGACTGCAATCTGTTTCTAGCGTGTAACAACGTTCTTCTACATATGGGCTTACTAAAAATACCTTGCTGCAAGTCTTTTCTGCAGTACAAATACAGCAGAGTCCCAGTGGTATGCTGGCCAGTCTGTGATCAGCAGAGGCTTGATTTTAAAGCAGTTCAGATATGGCACAGAGAAATATGGCAGCATGAGGTCAACAGTCAGGAGTAGGATTGTCATTACTGTAACTGGGCAAAAGGGACAGAAATAACAATTGTGAGGCGTGGAAGAATAGGACTGGAAAGGTCCTCAAGAGACCACCCCAGTCATTCCTGTTGGCTGAGGCAGCATGAGTCACACCTCTGTCAATCCTTATATGAGAGCCAAGCCTGTACATGACAGGGTAATCCAGACTCCAGAGCTGGATCCCACCATCATCCCAGGCAGTGAAACCCAGTGCCTCACCTTAGCCAGTCTCATACAAGCCTTCCTTCATAACATTTTAAAATTCCTTTCCCTTCTCCTCACCAGGAATGCAAAACAAACCCCCAAAAATATAAGAAGTTGTTTGCGCTGTGGGTTTTGTGATTTAAGAGCTGTCCAGCCTTGTCCTTGTTGCCTTTCCCTATGGGTTATGGTGAACAACCCAGCTGTCTCAGCAGTCCTTCCTAGTCCTCTGGCCATGCCTGTCAGTGTTTGGTACATTGCAAACCACGAGTCTTAGGGATAAATGTCACAGATGGCACTGCTCAAGACATCTGGCTCCTCTCAGCAGCACCGACATGATCTGGCCATGGTGGTTGGGACCCATTTTCTGTTGGCCATGACCAGAAAAACCCTGGGTACAGGAGAAAAGGACAGGTAATTTTCCACACAAAACAATGAAAAAGACAAAAAGTCAACAGGACAGAGGAGAAAAAGCATCTCAAATTTAGACTGCCCAGAATGAGTTTCTCCATAATTACATGCGGCCTAATACTGGTCCTAGGGGACCTGCCACCTTGTGCTGGTTTTCTTGAAAATATGTCATTTTCTGGGGAAAGGGGTCGGCTTCAAGTGTCCTCTGTTGAGATCCTGCTTGGGAATTGAGGGCATTTAGGCTGTTTCAGACAGAAATTACCATCCTGTTATTGGCTACTCCCCACTAACTCACTTCTAAAGCTGATTCAAGGTATACATTGGTATCTCACAAACAGAACACAATTGGATTTTTGAAAAACCTAAGTCCAGGTATTTTTCTGGAAGGGTTTCTGAAGGAAACTCCCCAAAGGCTTTCCTCTGTTCCCATCTCTGCACCTTGCACAAGGACACTAGGGTACCCTTAACTGCTGTCCCCCACCACTTTTACCAAAACACCCTGATTACCAGTCAGGCTGGGTTCCCACCCCTGCAGGGGTCCATGCTGAACTCAGCTGGAGCTGTGAGGCATCTTTGCATTACTTCCCTGCTCTCCCTCTTTACTTCATGCGGTTTTGTCTTGCACAGATGGCACAGTGCCATCTGTGACCATTGCCACTGCACTGCCGTGGTGGCCCAAGGATGCTGCTGCAGGGAGGGAGGCCGTGCACGTGGTTTGCCAGCAGCTTTTGGAGAGGGAAAGCACCGTGTGAACATGTGTGGTGCTGCTCTGTGGGGTGTGCCACTCACACACAGCCGCTTTGTTTTGTCATTCTAGGGACACTATTGGAAATGACATTCATTGTAATGTGTTTATCCTACTGGATTTAATTAGAAACATTCAGCTTTAATTAAGTGTTTGTTTTGCAGTCCCAGTAGTTCTATTTTGATAAGGCTCTGTCATGCAAATGCTAAATGAAGCTGAGGAAGTAGATTACTGCATGTCATAGCTCCTGAGTAATGATTAAAGACAATGTAGTGTGAGATACAGTTGCTGAGAGTGGGAGGCAACTCTGTGTTTTTTTTCAAGTGTTTACTTCATGCTTTCCAGGAAATTTCCTGTACTATTAGTTCTGGGTGTCCTCAGACCCATTCTTTGCTCTCCAGCATCCTCTTCCCAGGACTTCTTCAGGAACTGACAGGGGTGCAGTGGGCACAGGGAAGGTTGTGCTGTGCCTCTGACTCCTCCATCCTTCCACCTAGGACAGGACACCCAGGACAGGGGGACCAGGGACAAAATAAAGCTCCATGCAAAAAACAGGCGTCTTTTTCTCTCTCCTTTTCTCAGTAAACCCGCAATTTTTCCTTTCTATACAGAGTTTGGGTGCTAATGCCTGACTTGCCCATGCATGGGTCACTCCGTATATATAAAAAGGCTGCATATTCTGTAGCTGCTGCCTCTGTTAATGGTTTTCTCTATTTACCTGCAAACATTTATTGCTTGAAGTGTAACCTGAAGCTTAGCAGAGAAATAGGTTCCAGTTATAATTAACACATAGGGAACAGATCTAAGCAAGAGTTTTCACACAAAGTCATACTAATGCATGAACTCTTGCTTTACAGATTTACAGATGAAAGATGTTTTTCACATCAAATAACATAAATACTGGTTTGGGGTTTCTTTTGAGAGTGTAACAGTGAGCAGAGAAAAGAATTCCGTGCCTCAGACCCAGGAACATAAATCAGCTCTGACTGAGGAATTTCTACCTGTGAAGAGCCACACCACTCCATGATGACAGTCTCTTTCCTTTGATTAGGTCATCATCAAAATTAACAGCCCTTTATTGCTGGCCTGGTGTCCTCTCCCTCTGGAGGTTCAGTCCTAAAGGAGATGAAATATTATCAAAGAAAGACAAATCCCCTCTCAAACAGATTTTGCTGTGGTTTGTGATCAGATGAGGCAGCTTTGTGCTGAGCTTCTGAACCTCTGGAGATTGCTTTTCTGGGGAGACAGAGCAGGTTGAGCGCCCAGGGCAAGACACCCTCCCCAGTGCAGTGTCCTGCAGGTGGAGCTTGCCCTTTCCTTGGGGGTCCCTCTGTCTCTGGGTAGGTACACAAGCAGATTGTGGTTTGCCTCCTCTGCCCTTTCTTTTCTGTACTAACAGTCTCTCTCCCAGTCTTCCTTCTCTCACCCTGTCTTTCAATCTCTTCATTTTGCACTTGGAAGCTTTTCTGCTTTCCTTCTGTACTTTCCCTTTTCCAGCTTGACTTTCCCAAGGTGATTTACCTTCAGTAAACAGCTTCTGTGCTCAAGAACCTGCTGTTGTTCTTGGCAGAAACATCCCTTATAAACCACAAACAGGTAATTTCCACAGTAGGAGCTCCATGACATTGGTCAGACCTAGATCTCCAAATGTTAAGATACTCATGCAAAAGCTATAGTTTAATATGTGAAATGTTAATAGTATTTACATTTTGTGCCATAGCATAAAAGAATTTGCATTTTAATAAATGCAAATTGCTTTCCTTGAGTTTATTGTGTATTCTGTCCTCCAACAATCCATCATGAGAAGCAGGCATGACAAACAGCCACAGAAGTTCCCATGGTGTTTTGAAGCCTGCTAAATACACCACACACAGCAACAGAAGCCTTTAGAAGTCAGCTTTGTCTCCAGATTTGAAGTGTCCCTTGTTCACACAGCTCTCTGCAGTGCTGCTGGCCGGTCTCCCAGCCCCACTGGAAAGCAGCCTGATATGGGTTACGTGCAGGAGCCAAGCAGTAGCTCCTCCATTTGCAAAATATGGTGGAAAGAGATAATCTCCGTGCATGGGGTGTTGGGATGAACACATGGATGGGCTGTGGACCATTCTCACCTCACCAAAACTCGTGCCAGGAAAGGAGCAGACCTTCTTGCCTTGGCTGTGGCTTCACTCCTCACAGGCACTCATTGAGAAACAAGCCACACTTTGTCTCTAAGGCAGAAAGAAGTGAGAGAGAATGCTTTGAAAAGTGATGAGAATGTTTTGAAAAGTGGGAAGTGAGGACTACCACACAGCTGCTCTGCCAGCTCAAGAATGTTTCAGCACAATGATAACAACACCCTTATGAGTGAAGCCTTTCCCTGATGGAACCTGAAGCAACTGTGCAGCTGGTCTGGGAGATGGAGGAAGGACGTAGGCCTGGGCATGGGCTTGGGCAGGAGTACCTCCTTCCTTCTGGCAGAAAATGTGGTGCTGCAGATCTCCCTGGTGGATGTGTTGAAGCTTTATGAGGGACCACCATGGTGCATTCCAGGAGTCACAAATAGCAGGTGAGGCACAGGAGGGGACCTTTGCCACAAGGCAGATCAGACCCTCTGCTACTTAGTGAGAGCAGTGAAACTGGTAGGGGACCTGCATGGAGTCTGTGGCACAACTGAGGAATGTGCCACCCAAATGCATAAAACAGTCATTTTTTCCCACCTCTTTCCACTAATTTGGGGGAGGAGTGCTTGGACATCACTCTTAGGAGAGGCACGGGCTGTGTGGCACTATGGTTCCAGAATCTGAAGCCCTGAACTTAATAGTGAGGGCAAGTAAGACCTTTCTAAATATTTGTTGTCTGGAGCTGACAAGTGATCTGAAAAAACATGAAGCCTTACATAACTCCATCTGGGTAGGTGAAAGTTTTCTCCTAACTCTAGCCTAAAGCAAATTGTTTACCATTTACTTTCTTCTTGGCTTGACAAAGTAACTGTTATGAAAAGCAGATTTAACCATGAAGAAATGCCCTTTGCACTATTGTCTACCCCTTTCCAAGCTGCAGAAGCTGGATTTCAACAGCATGTTTTGGGATTCTGGGGCACTGGTAACATTAGCCCATCTCTCCTCCTCACACTGCCTTCTTCTGCTTGTCTGTGGGATAAACTTTCCTTGGCACTTCTTCCCACACACTTCAGATTAGCTCTCCCAGCATTGTAGCAGTGATTTATGTGCTTCTGTGCTAGCAGCCCACCACTGTGTATCGGTAGGATTACATAAAGATGGGTGACAGGGAGAGCTCTTAATCACCACATGAAAAAAGTATTTAACTGTTACCTGTCTCACAGTGAGGAGCAGTGCTTTTAAAGCCCTTGTGACATTTCCATGCTTCAAGCTCAGAATCTTATTTTAAATCTCCTGTCATCACATATGAGCCTTGACATTTGGTACAGGAATTAAAAATATTTATGTATCAGCTTTCAGGGAAAGAACATGCAGAGTGTTAATGGCCTTTCAAGTTCAGGTTTTGGCTCCCATTCTGAGTTCCTATTCTCTCTGGATGTCCTGTATCAAAAACAAAGTCTCATTTTCTTTTGCTATGCACATAGATACACACAAACGCTGAAAAGCAGCTTGCAGAAGTGAACTGACATGCCACCTGCTCATGAATACCCATTTCTCAAAACCATGCTGGAATAACTTCCTCTGTTAACTTTTATTCCAAAATAGTGTTTTACCAGTGGATTATAACCAAACAGCTAAAATACAGCAGGGTGTTCTTTCCCCTCATAACAAGACTTAAAGACTTAAGACTGCTCCCTCTCTACTTCCTATGTGATTTATTACATGCATAAATGTACAGCCTTCCCCCAAGGCTGACACCTCATCTTTCGTATCTTGAACGCACAGCAGATGTTTAGGAAGTAGAAAACTTATAGTGTAACAACAAGAGCTAGAATATAAAGATATGTGACTGAAACAAATGTTGTGGTAACAATATTAGAGTTTTGTGGTTTGCAGTTTCAACTTTGACTTTCAGAAAGTGACATTTATATGCGCTCTGGGAATGTGATAATAATCTTGGCACTCCTAAGTAGTTTTCCAGTTTGAATGATAATATAGAGCAAATTAATTTCAGTTCTCAGATTAAGCATCTCCCCTTCCCTAGATGGTAATGAGTCAAAGCTACTACAATAAAATTTAATGTCTGCTGTCCTGTTCCTTTAGCTCATGTGCATTCAGTAAAAATATAAATCCAGAATTGTTGATTGAAGGTCTTTCCATACAAAACTAGCTCCTAATGTTGACCGTTCTGTGCACTCACAAAGTAATTATAACTTCAGTGTGTAAGAAACAAACCAAACCAAACCAAAACAACAAAGAACTTTATTGCACCACATCTCTGTTTGCAGAGACTCCACTTTTTTTCCTTTTAAAATATTTACAAGGACATTTTTCATTCAGTGTTTTCAGTGGAATGCTGCCCTTAAAGTGGTGCAGAACCCAGTGGGTGTTCACTGCAGATGCTACTAAATTTGATGAAGGTGGAAGACAGGGTAAACTCAAAGAAGACTGATAGGTGAATTACTGTCTGGAAATAGAAAGTCAGTTTGAAACACTGATGTTCTTTAGCCTCTCATCAGACAATTCAAATCTGGAGAAGCAGAAGAGGTGACAAAAGTGCCCTAACAAAGTATCCAGATGACTATGTTAATAATCTGATCTTGGTTTCCAAGGAACCCTGCTTTGTTTCAGTACAAAATGCTATCGGAAAGAGCATCATAAAATTGTTGCTCCATTCTGGAATGAAATAGAGGTGTTCTGTCCTGGGGAGAAATCTAGAGGGGATGTCCTTAGTCTGGAGACTCTGCAGGGAAAGGATTGGTCCCAGAGATGTGTGGATCCTTTTATTCATTTGAGTATTTTCTAAGGTTGTCACATACACACACAGAGCCCTGGAATCCACTGCTCACTTTTGAGCCCCGCACTACAAGAAAGACACTGAGGTGCTGAAGTGAGTCCAGAGAAAGCCAATGGAGCTGGTGAAGGGTCTGGAGCACAAGTCCCATGAGGAGTGGTAGAGGAAGCTGGGGGTGTTTAGTCTGGAGAAAAAGAAGCCTGAGGTGACCTTATTGCTGTCTACAGCTACCTGAAAGGAGGCTTTAACCAGGGGGGGTCAGGCTCTTCTCCCAGGTAACAGGCTGTAGGACAGGAGGAAATGGCCTCAAGTTGCACCAGGGAAGGTTTAGGGAAAAATTTCTTCATGGAAAATGTTGCCAAGCACTTGAACAGGCTTTTCAGGGAAGTGCTTGAGTCACTGTCCCTTGAGGCATTCAGAAAATTTGTGGATATGATCTTATGATTTCAGGGACACGATCTATTGGTAGATTTGTCAGTGTTGGATTCACAGCTGTACTTAATGGTCTTAAAGGTCTTTTCCAATCTAAATCATTCTATGATACTGTGAAAAGATTCTACTTTGGATTGGGGGTTTGACATTGTCTTTTTGATGTGCTTCCCAGTCTAAAAAAACCTTATTTATCAGCAGAAAGATGAATATTGAGGGTATTTTATAGTCATAAAGAAGAAGTTTAGCTACATTCATAAACACAAGTATCCTAGCCAAGGCAAACAGGGAAAGCCTAGTGTTTTGTTTACAAAGGGATAGCTGCCCTTCAAATATTTACAAAGGATGAAGGCAAATTCAAGAGCTGTTGGCAGAAGGACTGGAAGCAGTATTGAGTATCTTCATGCAAGCTTATTACTCTTGGGGTGAAAAAAAGACTTAGACTTTGCAAGAATAGTTAAGCCTGAAATTATGAATGTAACTATGAAAAAAAAAAGAAAAGAAAGAATTTAAATACAACAAATGCCAAGCAAGTTCTGGATCTGCAGTCACATTACTTGATATTACCCTTTCAGTTTCTTTGATTAAGGAAGATCATGTGCCTGAGGGAATAAATCCTTGTGTTAGCAAATGTAAGTTATAAAGAGGTTAGGAATGTTCCCACCTATCTGTGGACAAGGACAATGTGTGCTACACATTTTATTTAAAAAGGCATGGCAGGTAAGAAGAGAGGGATGTCTAATTACCTCAGCCTGGCTGAACAGGTTGAGTTTCCATGCCTGGGGATGGAAAGATGTGCCTCAGCTGACAGAAGTGTGGGTAATTTAGGACAGGGCAGAGAGGAGTGGAGAGAGTGAGGAAACAGGGAACTCAGAGTGTGTGGATGGACCAAGGGGCTTGGGGAAGAGAGGACCACATCTTGGCCTCTGAGATGATGGAAAGGAGGGGGCCATGTGGATTAAACTTCTGATGGACAGAAAACAGGACATTTTCTTCATAAAGATAGAATAGACTGGGGAAAATTTGTTTTCTGGTCTTACTTATTCAGCATTTTACTTCCAGCAATTCTGGTTATTTACTTGTTGTTGTTTTTGTTTACAGACAGCAACTGTTTGCCTGGCTCTAGTTCATGATTTTGCCTTGTGAGGAGTCATTCCTGCACATGTGTGCCTGTTTGAAAGCACAGGTGAGCCAGGTCTGCCCTGAGGCTCTGGCCAGCACAAGGGCTCATTGTGGTGTTCTGGCCATGCTCTGCTGCCCTGTGTGCAAATTGGCAAACGAGGTGCTGTGTCTGCCAGTCTTACTGTGGGTGTCCTGCAGCTGTGTTCTCTTTCAAAGGCCCTGCACCATGAATAAAGGGGATGAGAGTTATCTGCTTTCCACCTCACCATAGACTTTTCAGGGCTATTTCTGTCCTTCAAATGTGAGTATAAAGTCCTTGGCCATCTCATGTGTCTCAGGCTGAGCTTTTTTGCATGGTGGTGCCCACTGGGGAAATATCTGCATCTGATGGCTCTTCAAGCTCTTATGAACATGAAGAGCTGATGGCCAGGGACTCCTTCAGTTCTGCCTTGTGACAGAGGAGTTGTCAGTCCATGCCATTTGTCAGAAACTAGTTCCATTTATGTTGTTTGAAGATTGCTGGACTTTTCCCCCAACAGGTTTAGAAGAAGAGCTTCATCCTCCTCCTCTTGATTTCTTTGAGTTTAAATTGTTGGAATGAATTAAGGACAGAAGACATATTCCTAAACATTTAGGCTGTAAGATTAGGTACTTTGCCTCCTAACACTGTTCACAGTCTTGCTAGTGCCAGATCCTCATGACTGCAATGGTTATAAACTCAATTTCCATCCCAGAACTATTTGAGGCCCATCCATAGCCATTTGTTCTTGTTCCAAGGCTGTCTTCCAGTCTGAATAGCTCTTTTTACTCCCTGGTATTCCCCTTCCTCGAGGGGTATTTATAAAAAACTCTCCTATCATCTTTCAGCTTTTGCTTAGTTAGAGGCTGAGCAAGGACATCTTTCTTAATCTCCCCTAACAATTCTGGTGGCTTTTTTCCTGCACCTCTTCCTATTTGAACTCTTTTTGGATATGGCTGATTGGAGTGATCAGCAGCA